ATATAAATTTGAGTAACGATCCTGCAATAATTCTCCAGAATAACAAAATTACATGGGGGGAAGACATCATGTGAAGTGATTCAAATTTTTAAAAGTAAAAAAAAAAAAAAACATCCCGGCAAACTATGCGTTTCAATTTTGATWTATATTAATATGATGAATTCACTGACAAATGCAGGGCGACAATGTGTGCCGCCCTATAACTGTAAATGAGTGCAAAAAAATACGGTCAAAATAGTTAAAAAAACACATAGAACAAAACAAAACATGGCAAGCTTTGTAAAAAAGCAATTAACATTGTTTATCAGGAGGAACTACTTTGTGTGGTGAATGAATTTTGTGTCTTTGTGGACCGTCCACGCCCTCTCCAAAGCTCTTTGAAACCTAAACGACAGCTGTAGAATTGAGCTGTCATCAGGAAGAAACRTGAATAAACGAAGCCACGCTGGTTGAGAAGATAAGAAGTGACAGGAGTTGTGATGTTAAACATTCAGGTTGTTTCACTTCCATGTTCTGACACCTGTTTACATCTGTTCTCAGCCTCGTCCGTCCTCTCCTGCGGGGCTCCGCCCRCAGTGAAAAATGCACAGCTCCAGGCGACAGGAGACGCTCACCTGCGCAACGTCAGCTATGTGTGCAACGCTGGGCTGCAGCTCGTCGGCTCTAAGACTCTCACCTGTCTGTCGAAYGGCTCATGGAGCCTACCAGCTCCTACATGTGAAGGTGTGACGCTTTGAGTTCTAACATTTAATTCACATACAGTCATGAGAAGTAAGAACTGTGCTTTACACACTGTGTAAGGACATGTGATAGACAAAAATAAAACAAAAACAAAAAATATAACACTTCAGGTTACTTTCTACTCACACCACACACACACTCAGTTACAGTCAATGATTACATATATGAAGGGTTTTTTTTTACAGATTTTTAGGTTAGATTTGAAAAATCTAATTTTGTTCCCTTGAAGTTCGGTTTTAAAGTGTCTGTGACATGTACATCCATGAAATACAAAATAAAATCAAAGAAAATATATTTATATTTAAGAAAATCTGCATTATAAATGTGATTTTACCCATTATGTTACATATTTGGCATATTTTCTTTTGAATTTGCCTCAGCTAAAGTGAAACAGGAAGTGACATCAAAGGGGAACTCTTTAACAAAACAAAGAAAACTCTCTGGTCTTTGTTTATTGAAACAGTATTATTTGAACTATGACTCTTTCTTATATGCTTATGGTAATGATTAAAACAATCTAAAGAAACATCAGATTCTTCTCTACAGTCTGTTATTGGCTGTTGTAGCAACGCTCTGTTTGCATTCAGTCATTCCCCTTTGACATCACTTCCTGTTACTGAAAATGCAAATATCTCCACAACTGTTCATCTCAGCAGTGTGAAATCTTTTTTACAATATGTTATTAATATTATCTTTCCAAAAATAAATTCATATTTATTACAAAATATTGATGTCACAGGCACTTTAATCATTTTAGACACAGAWAAAGACCAGGTCCATTTTATTATGTCTTGATTTGTAAAACCCTGCAGTTGTAACAGGKTCTTTTCCACACGACTGTAGTCTTCATCACCTTTTATTCTCCAGTGATCAGTGGCTGTGAGGGTCCCAAACAGCTGCTGCACGGTAAAGTTCAGGAGCAYAGCCTGAACACCAGGCGTGCTCTGGAGTTCCAGTGTGATCAAGGCTACAGCCTTGTGGGAGACCAGTTGGTGATGTGTATGGGGAGGAACACCTGGAGCTCCACTTTCCCCACCTGTCAAGGTAAGAAATCTGTGCCTYTCTCTCTTACACACACTTTCAGCATCTGACTTCCTGCTCTGCTGCAGGTTCCCAGCACTGGGCCAACAGCTGTGTTTTCACAAACGCTTGCAACACACAGACAAACACACTCCTTCAGTTTCCTAATCCGTTTTACAACATCAACCGGTTAGTCGCCTCGCCTCRTCTGGTCAGGTTCAGGGCTTATTTTTAGGTCGTGGGCTTGAGTCAAACAATCTTTAAAGCTGGGATTTGTTTGAAGAGTTGAATTTAATGACTTTAATAAAGCATGCAAATCTCACAGTAAAGATGAAACGAGTCACAACAAATTAATGTCTATCTAAAGAATGTCCGCTAACTGAACAAAGAGRCAGTGGTTTTGTAGGATCCAAACAGGTTTTAAGGGAGGATTTAAATGTGGAAAATGACTCAGTGCTTCAGAAGGAAAGTAGAAAATAATTTACAGAGGTAGGCGGTTAGAAGGGCTCGGTGAATATTTTTGAGGGATGTAGTTTTGKCCTCTTCAGAGCTTTTTATAAAAGTCACACAGAGTAGATGGCTAACATGAAATAAAGTAACATAAGAACATTTTTTGTACATACATCATTTAACTGTCCCYGCCTCACATCATGACCTTTGTTACMTRTCAAGCTTTGAATAGTTCTGGTGTTTTTGTTTTGTTTTAGGGGTCACAGTGCTCCACATCACTTTATTTCATGGTTTCTGTCCCTCACAGCAAGGTCTTGCCCACCTCCTCCGGGCTGGAAGGAGGACGTTCGCGTTAACAGATCCCAGCAGGAGTTTCATGTTGGACAGTCGGTGAGGGTTACCTGTCCCAAGGGACAGCAGGTGAAAGGCAGCGGCACCATCACCTGCAGGCCAGACCAGACCTGGACCTCCCTCAGTTCTGTGTGTGAACGTAGGTACTACGTCTGAAATCAACAAGATGAAGACCACATTTAAAATATCCCTGCATTCATTTTTCTGACAGCATTTTAGCATTTACAATATAAGTTTTGTTAAAATAAATCTTAACTGTTTAAAAAACTCRTAATAAAGTACAATAAAGTGACAATTAACCAACATTTATTGACATAACACTACTGGTTAGCAGACAAATGAAAATAATTCATGATAAATACAAGCTGTGTTWAAATTCAGGCGCTGTTGCCATGTCTTCATTAAGAAAAGTCATTATTGGCTGTCCTAAAACCTGCTGGAAGTTGCTAAATGACGTCATCGCCTAAAGTACATATTTGGAGAGGAGAGAAGAAAAATAAGCAAAAACATTAGAAATATGCTTTKAACTGTAAATCAAAGGAAAGTTTATGATTTTTAATAGTTAGACCCACATCACAAATAAATTCTGTGAGACTATTACGAGGGGGTGCACACAAACAGTGATGCACTCGTGCCCACCCCRCTCCATTCAGAAAATATTTATCTGCCAAGCATTGCTGGTGAGCAAGGGTGTAACTTTCTGAAGGACTGGTGTGGACATGTCCCCACCAACTTTGGCCGAACAGGGACAGTCCCCACCAATATTCGCACATCTTTTTTCCTTTGCGTGCATCTACGTTTCCCGACAGTAGGCAGCAGCAACTGCTGTGTCTACCTTTTTCTGAAGGAAAAAAAATTAGCTGCGCCCCCTCCCCTCTCCTGCTAGTGCTTCTCATCCCATACAGGAGCGCTACTTCGAACCTGCGACACCATCCCCCTCACCCCCTCCTTTCCTTTTCTCTGAAGTTCAGACACACACTCGCACACACAGACACACACGCGGGGGGCTCACTGCCTGCTGTAAAACAACGTGGTGGTCAGAGCTTCAGAGCTACTGGAACAGGTAATGGTCTGATAACGTCCAGCTCCTGGAAAAACTTTATTCTTTACAAATGACCAAAAATAAGTCAAAAAGTAGGACAGGACAGTTATGAAAAGTTAGCTTGCTGCTAGTTATCTATCAGCTAATGTTAGCAATCATTTAGTGATGACATTATCTATTATTGAGGTGTTTTTTTAAATCAGTTAAACTGTATTTTAATGCTAAGATTGAGTCCAGGTCCACTCTGATGATATTTATTGATTCCCTGTTATAATTTACATTCATAAGTCACAGATTATTTCTCTAATTTAATCTGCTAGCTTCATAATTTACACGTTATTTTCTTGACTTTTTAAAGCTGACTGAATTCAGGTGGCAGTAAAAACATAACACTTAATCTGTTGATGGTAAATGTTATTTTGAGTACATTCTAGTCAGCTGTGTGAACTTAATGTAATAAGACATAATCTATAGCAGGCTTAACGATTTATTTTGACCTGTATAAAAGTGATCGGCTTATTTAAATTTAACTTGTATTTGTAGGAAGTGGTAGAAATTAGTTTTCATAATTGGGATTTTCCCAGTTAAATAAAGGTCAGTAAATAAATCTGTCAATTCATCCATCATTAGCTTCTAATCAGTTCCAAACATCCACATATTGATCTTATAAATAAATGTAAAAACCTCCTCTAAGCTTGTTTGGGATAATTTGTCACATTAATTTAATTATCTGAGTTATAACTGAATTTAAAAACAGGACGATGCAACTAGTTTAATGAAGAATCTGTCTYCAGTCATTAAATCAGGTGTTTATTTATGTAGGTAAAAGTATCTTTAACAACCTGTTAAAATACATTAGAAATCAGGAAATARMTTCTAATTTTATTCAAAATTTTCTGAGGGAGGACCCCCAGACCCCCCTCCAGTGTGTCCTTTACACACATTATAAGACTTAGTGAGAGGATAAACCAACACACCTGTGCTCCACCTGTGTGTCTCTGTATGAAACTATGGCTGATTATCAAACTGTATTCTCAGTGAGTTTAAAGGACTGGTACAGTACACGGYTGAATGAAGGTGAACATAATCTCAGTTAATATAGTTTGAGTATTACTGCATCACAACAGAAACATTTGGTGTTCAGTTATCAACGAGTGCAGACAGTTAAACTGAGCACACACTGAAGACATGARCAACAGAAAAACCTGGTCACACAACTGTGGGTGCTTCAGACCCYGTCCCCCACRGTGCGTCCCCACCAACTTTCAGYACAAAGTTACGCCCTTGCTYGTGAGGGTCTCCTCTCTGCACTGACTGCAGCTACGYGAAGCTCCCGTGAGTCGGACCGTGGAAAGGGGGAGGGGCTAAAGAAAGGGCAGTCACCAAAGTCTCCAATAAAACCACAGATTTCTCGMTAGCTGTTAAAACTTGGAAAATCTAGTGACAAATTCACTAAGTTGGCAACACTGAATTCAGGGGTGGCAGCCCAAATAGACCCTTTGAAGTCCAGGTCCGCTGAATATAACCACTGTTAAATGAGACGTCTAGTTTTTAGATGGAGGGCATGTGTTTGCTTGACCACGCACTACCCCGTTATGAGGGTTTCTTTTTCCTGTAAAGTTTGATGACTGTGCARTGAATCCTGGGATACCATCACCTCCTAAGAATAGTCAGATGCAGCCTTCATTTGGRGGTTTTGAGGGCTGGCTGAGGAGGAGTTCATTAAGTGGAGCAGTGACGTAACCAGCCTATTARTGCGCATTATGTGGGCTGCAAGCCCTGATTCAAGCTACTCATTCGACAGACATTTCAGATATTTTTGTAATAGTTAAAACTCATTCATGGCAAAACTGTTCTTATTACATTTAATTAAATTTAAAGTTTCTTCATAAACAATATATTAAGTAATGATGTATCTAYGATCAATATAAGGATGTACGACCTTAATAATGATAATAATGTTGTAAGTTAATGACTGTGCACACCTCTGCATGCTCTCCTCACTGCACCACTTGTTTTAACTCACATAGCTGCTTGTTGTGACTCAGGTGTGAATTGTTTCTGTTCCTGAATGAGCTTCAATCAACAGAAATGAGGCTGCGTCAAACACTGAACTGATCACAGGCCGCTCTATGGCAACCTTTGTCTGATACACTTTGATCTGTGAGGAGCAGCAGTCATGAGTTCTTGTGCTGAGGTTGCTATGGCTCCTTGCTTGTATTTGCATGTTGTTTGTTCTCATGTTATGCATGTTTATCCGTGTCCTTTTCAGGGATCGTAGTATTTAAACTGATGCACAGCAGCGACACATTTGTTGCATGAAAATCACAGACTTCAGGGGCAACTCAGAGGAAGTCCACTCCTGACTCATTCAGTTATCACAAACTCAAAGCTTTGTGGGGATTTTCATGTGKGGGCAAACAAAAACTAAAACACAAGGGCTTGTAGGAGTTTTATGTGACTGCTAAAAGGAAAAAATACACCAAGAAGCTTCAAAATGAAAGTAAAAATGCAAATGAACTGACAAGTACCACAAAGRCACGGTGAGTAACTCCTGGGTCGTTCCATTTGGGCTGTTGTGCAGGGGTGTCCTGCGGCGCCCCCCTCCACGTGGCCAACGGGGTGGTGCGGGGGGCCGTGTTCCAGTTCGGGGACGTGGCGACGTACTCGTGTTTCAGCGGCTTCACCATGGAGGGCGTCGGAAAGAGCAGGTGTCAGGAGAACGGCACCTGGACGCCGCCGCCCACGTGCAGAGGTAGAGGGGACGCCGAAGGGGGACTGTCCCCACCCCACTCCCCCCCTGAGGACACTCCCTGCTCTGACTCTGTCTCTTCTGCAAATAACAGCAAATAACATCCTGCAGCTTTTTAACGCTACGCTAAACTGCTGTTGCTTTGCTCWGAACTTGTCTGCAATATTTGTTCATCGCCTGTTAAAACTGAGAAAAWTTGATCAGAAACATATATATTAGGGGTGCAACAATACATGTACCCATATTGAACCATTCAATACAGTGCTTTAGGTTCACTACACACTTGTATCGAACAATACAGATTTTTAAAACTTACTTTATCAACTTGTCTTCTGAAGATGCTCTATGTTGAAGGATCAGTGGATCTGTGTTCGACTACTCCACCTAGGCTGCATTGTTGAGCGCAGATCCACTGAGAAACTTGCTGTTTCAGCAATATTTAATTAAAAAACTGTACTTTTGAGGTTAAACAAATGTTCATAATTAATTTTAATTAATTACAAATTTAAAAAAGGGCATGGATATTTCTCTTTTTTTGTATCGAAAAAATATAGAACCGTGAGACTAAAGTATCGAACCAAACCGAATCCTGAATTTTCTGTATTGTTGCACCCCTACAAATTTAAACATGACTGAACTCATTAAAGGGGTTGTTTATGCACTCTTAAAATGAAGTGTTGAATTTACTTAACCAAGTTATGTCTAATTGTTTCACTAAATAGAGCTGAGTAAATGTAAAGTAATTCACTCAGTTTATTTAAAAGAAAAAACAGCCAACACTACTTGGTTTAGTAAACTCAACAACTCATTTATTAGAGTGTGCGTAAAAATACTTTTACTTTTACCGATTAGTGTGAGCATGACTTTTACTTACCGGTAAGCACTATTCTTATCAGTGAAATTCAATTTTACTAAAGTCATTTTCTGTTTTGGTATTTTTTACTTTTTTTTTTTACCACAAACCTTCCAGGAAGTGTTTTTGTGTGAGAAAATAAACAAACGTTCTTTCTGAGGAAATTTAGTCATACAGTTTGAACATGCAGAGGTATGAACCGTACTGTGACTCTGACAGTAAGAAAAGGATGTGATAATTATGCCAGCTCTGACAGGCTGCATCAAAATGCTTCCATTTTAAGAAGAAAGATATTTTTTATGTCTTTCATTTTCCAGCACAAACAACAGGGTAATAAATAAGTGAACAAATGTGTTTAGAAAAGAGCATTTGCGTTTACAGAACTGAATTAATTTCCATGTTCGGAGGCAGACAGAGGATCAGAAAATGTAATCAGTATCCAGCAGAATGAAATGCAAATATCTGCTCAAACATTAGACACGAGAAACGAGCAGGGTCCAAAAAAGCTTTCCCTCAGAAGCTGCTGAGCTTGCTCTTTGCCTGTCTGCATTGCTGTGTAATCAGGTTTTTATCTTTTTTTTTAAAGAAATCAATCTGCTTTTGCTTGTGTGCATGAAGTTTCATAACGTCCCTCAGGCACTAAAACCTGTCGTCTGGATCCTGTGCAGCACATTCTAATCTGAATAAATGCACCAAACTTAAATGTATTTTTTGTTTGTGTCTCGCTCCTCAGCGGTGTGTTGGCTGCAGTGTCAGAACGGAGGTGTGTGTCAGCGGCCCAACATCTGTGCCTGTCCTGAAGGCTGGATGGGTCGGCTCTGTGAGGAGCGTAAGTATAAAGTATTCAAACGCCTGGCAACAACCCAGGACTCCCCCCAGCTCATTGAGCGTTTAACACAACAAAACAGATTTAACACTAAGGGTCTCAGCAGAGAAAATCACAGATTCTGTCTCCTGTTTTATTAAATTACAGCTTCTTTATAGAAGGAATCTAAAAGCTTAATGTGTGTCAGATTATAAGGTTTAATAAATGAATAAAGAACATTAAAAACAGAGAAGAATGCATTCCACGTTCTATTTATTTATTTATTTATTTAATGTGTTCTATGAATAAGTCGATTAACTTCCTGTTTACACTCCTTTATTAACAGCCATCTGCATCCTGCCGTGCCTGAACGGAGGGCACTGTGTGGCCCCCTACCAGTGTGAGTGCCCCCCCGGGTGGACGGGCACCCGCTGTCACACAGGTGAGTTCATGTAGGAAGGTTTCAGCTTCTGTATTACCTGCTGCAGATAGCTCTGTTGGTTTATTTACATCCTGGTGCTGAAGGTGAAGCTGCAATGTCTTTATCAGTGTGTTGTTAGCAAAATATCTCATGAACCTTTAATGAAACTTTGAGAAGTTAATCATTAAATAAAGTGTGCTGTATTTAACATTTATGGCTAATATTTAGTGTGAGGGTCGGGTGAAGAATTTTGGTGCAGAGGCAAATTGCTAATGTTAGCTAGCTAGCTTTGCTAACATCACTTAGCTTTCCTTTCTTTGTGCTTCTTTTCTAAGTTACAATAAAGCTTAACGTCACTGCTGTCTTCTGGATGTTGTTTTATAAATATATTATTTATTATTTATGTAGCCGGATTGTATCACTGAAGATTTTGCAGACATCTTCTCTTGCTCCCAGACAACCACGAGTCACTTTCTTGGAGAGCCACATGCGAGTGACGGGGGTGGGGATGGGTGACAGCGATAACAAAAATACATAATTAGCAATAAATCATGCTTAGATTTGAATCAGTACCTTTCGCATACAATTATAAAAAAGATGTTACAAATAAATTTGACAATATTTTGGCAATTTCATGATATTCTCACAGTTGTGGCCTTGAAATAAAATCATAAGTCCTCAATGTCCGARATYGAGATAAGATCAAGTACAAATACAGTTGAGTCTGAGACGAGACCATCTAAAAGTAGTCTTAAAGGGCCTGTGACATGCTTATCCTTMAAATACAAAAAGTCAAATAAAACATCTTTATATTTAAGAAAATTAGCATAATAAACATGATTTTACCCATTTTGTTTCATAACTGGCATTTTTTCTCTTGAATTTGGCTCAGCAAAGTGAAACAGGAAGTGACATAAAAGGGGAACTCTTTAAGAAAAGAAACTCTCTGGTCTTTATTTATTGAAACAATCTTATTTAAACTCTTCATCTCTGAAAGTGACTCAAAATAATCTAAAGAAACATYAGATTCTTCTSTAATTATGGTCGYATCGCTCTGTTTACATGCAGACATTCCCCTTTGRCATCACTTCCTGTTTCTTCACATGCTTATATCTCAACAACTGTTCACCACAGCAGCGTGAAATTTGTTTTGCAATATGTTATCAATGTTCTCTTTCAATTAAACATATTCATGTTTATTACAAAATTTGATGTCACAGGCACTTTAAGACCAGGTTTGAGTAAAACACTAGTTCAGTGAGCCAGCTACAACTGTTGTGATCAGGTCTAACCTGTCTCTCTGCCAGAATAAACTGAGGTGAGTTGTCAGTGTGTTTTTTAATGTTTTCTTAATGAGTTTTTAGCAGATAAACAACATCACAGTTACATCCTGTAATATCAATGACTTGTTAAACCAGGACCCACRTGGTCCCATTTCATCAGTAATGACAACAATAAGCTCATCGATCTCATTTCCTTCTGATGAAACGTTCGGATGGTTTTTCTGCTTGTTCCTGCGCAGCTGTGTGTTCGTCGCCGTGTCTGAACGGAGGACGGTGCATCCGGCCGAACAGATGCAGCTGCAGTCCAGGCTGGAGTGGACACAACTGCTCCAGGTGACGTCGCACAAAATAACAAAAAGCACAATAATCTGAATCTTGAATGTGGAATAATGTTTTATCAGGATGAAAGGAGGATTAGTGTTGGAACAGGGTAACTGGTCTCATGCTCTCACCAAAACTATCCCAAGATGTTTTCAGATTGCAAAATACAACGCTCTTATGAAAGGTTGTAAATGGCTTGAAGCATTGTTTGAAAATGTGCTGAAGTGGGAGTGTCAGAAATGGTAGGTGGTTCTTAAAGAGACRGGCTAATTTCAAGTCGTTCAAATTAATTTTTGATATATATGGCATTTTAATAACAACTGTAACATAGTTATTTGATTTTGGGTATTGAACTATGTGTCTGGAAAATACGTTATCCCCCTTTAAGAGTAAAAAGTTTCTAAACACCTGCAGCAGCAGCAGCAGCAGCAGCAGGGAGAGGTGCTCTGCTGTTCATTGTTTGTCAGATCATCCAGGATGAGACAAGACAGCTGCATTTCTACAAAAAACCACAGAACCAGTTTGAGCTGACTCCTCCCTGCCCTGTGGTAATCTGTGCAGTCATATATTACACAAAACATACAACCGGTTTCTCCCACATAACAAGAAATCTGTTTTAGTCGAGCAGCTTGGTACCGTTACATCAGTACGTTTAAAGATCAGTTCAGTTCCAGTTATTGTGCAGCTTGATCTTTAAACTAGATACAAAAATGAGTTAACTCAGTAAAATAAGTAAAKGGTTACAAATAGTAGTGTACCCCACCAAGAGTTAATGCAGTATTTGATGTTTAGAAGATGTGAAACAATGAATATTAGTGAATGGAGATCATTGAAACCATCTATAAAGTAATAAAAATTATTCAGACGTAAGCACTGTAAGACCTGAAAAGGCTTCTAAAAACTGAAATAATCTTGGATAAATATTTAATTAGCAGAGAAAATAAAGTTTCATGAGAATTAAGTGCCTTCATTTTATTGTAGGGAACATAAAGGTATCTGTTTTAATTACTTCCCTGGTTCAGTGGCTGAATCACCTCAAGTTCTACAGAAGCCTGTTCACCCATTCTTACACCTCAGGTGTGTTGGAGCAGGATAGAGGTTCTCCAGACCAGGACTGGACACTCCTGGTTTATACAGAACTATAGACATCCAACCAGAAGCCAGAATGAGACCAGTGGACGGGGAAGTTTTAAGCCCTGCCCCCTCCACGTATGAAACATTACACTTGGGGTGGGCAAGACAAACCTTAGATTTTGTCTGTCTGCTGCTGTATGTTGAAATATTAACCTGTAATTACATTTGTCCTGCTCAGATGAAAGATCATGTGACTCCATGATTGTGAGGGGGAGTAGGCGGGGCTTAAAACTCAACTTTCCTTGTGCAAAAAAAATAAAAACCTGGCTTCACTTCTAAAATCCAGAGACGAACATTTGGTCTAGTTTTGTATAAAGGGTTGATAAACTTTCTGCTTTTTCCTTATGTATTTTTTTTTTTTTGTCTTCACAGGAAGAGGAAATCAGTGTACTACCACTTCTAAAATTAAAGGTCTTACTCGCCTCCATGTGAACCATCTAAAGAGAATTCTTGTATATTTAAAGCCAAACCACCCACTCATCTCTGCAAACTTTTGTAAATTAAAGCTGTATTTCACCTTCATATAAAGACTCAACAGTATTAAACATTTGCTGCTATATATACCTGTACGATGTGTAAAAACTCTTTGTGACKGTTCAGTGTATATGTGTAAACTATTCACGTTTTTAATAAAGCATAAACGCCACTGAAAGCTTCAGATCATTTGCTTCGTATTAAAGTCAGGACGACGTCAAAGTCAGTAATTCCTTTATTAAATCCACCTTGTTGGGAATAAAAATAAAATACAGACGTTCTCTGGAGGTCTATGACATGTAACACAGAGTTACCACATGAGGTTGGAGTTTTAATGTGGGCCAGTTATTAAGGCAGTTGGTACAGGAACAGTGGAATAAATGGAACCAGGATGGTGAACAGATGCAACAGGAAGTGCTGCTCAGGTGGGAACARTGTGGTCTACTGCAGCTCAGCCACTTTGGCCTTTAATGTGTCTCTGTTGGCGCCAGAGAATTCAAACACCTGAAAAACACGACAAGCAGGTTAGAAAACCCWGTTACTACGAAACTATTACTACTTAGACAAAAATAAGAGAAACTAAGAATCTCATTTAAGAAAACTTTTCCAGCATTCCTTGTGTGGCGTTTATTTTCTATAAAACATGGGCTAAAGCAAAATAAGATCTTTTGACTTGATTTTTTTCTAATGTTAGGTTTTAGACATAAAGTTGCAGRTAGCTCAGGAGAGAAGTGTGGCAGGAGACGTCTGCTCACTCAGGGTCTCACTGAACTGTACACCAGAAAGACCTGCTCCAATCTGATTGGATGAAACCATGGCTCTGGAGTTTGATTTGTTGAAAGCATCAGTTTAAACCTCTCATTAGATTGGACTGCTTTAACAGAAAATACAACCTGAGGTTTTTTTTTTTCCAGACTATGGAAATCTGACGAGGCGACAGAAATACTAATGTAAAAAAAATGAAYGTTAATCGAAAGTAAGAAAGCTACAGACATGCCACTAGTTCCCTTCTCACATGAACACGAGCCCACAACCATAAAACGTCCAGTGACCACAAACCATCGATGCTGCTGGATGTGTGAAAGATAAAAACAATCAGTTTATGGTGCGTTTCGAGTCCTTCAACTCACCTTCTGTCYGTTCTTGTAGAACTGGAATGTAGGCATGCAGCTAATGCCACAGGAGGAGCTCACGTCCTAAAGAGACCAGATTCATGTACTTAAACATAGAAACATTATTATAAATATAACCCTTATTCCACTGGCTGCAAATCACAGCTCTCGATTCATTCTTTAAATACAGGTGTTTATGACAAGATTTTACATTAAAACTAATGTTTTGTTCCATGGTGGAGGACGCATTTCATTTATGGAAGTAGGGAGGAAAAGTAAATTTTAAACGACTTATTGAAAGGTAAAGAGACCCATCTCTACTCTGCAGACAGTTGTGCCAGCTAGGTCTTAAATTACACAGGCATACTTACAGGAACATCATCCACGTCCACTTTTATGAAAATCACATCAGTAAATTGTTTTTCCAGTTCCTGCAAGACAATCAGTCGACGTTATATGCAAGGGGAAAAAAACAACACTCYGTAGAGTCATCACATTTGGCCACACAGCAGGAGTCTCCTCTTTAAAAAGGTGGGTAAAAAAAAAGACCTAACAAATATACTTGGCAACAAGCTCCGCCTCCAAACAATTTCACATTCATCTCTTTTTCTCTAAATTATTAACTCAATGTGTCACTTCCTCTGTTGTGGATGGAATCGAGTGAAAACACCTTATWAGATAAAAGGTAACTTGAACATCTCAGTCACATACTTACATCAAGAAACGGAGCGATGGCTTTGCAGGGACCACACCACGTAGCTGTGAAGTCCACCACCACCAGCTTCCCTCCTGCCCCGGACAGAACGCCATCGAACTCATCCTGAAGAGGGTGAATGGAGAGAGGATGGGAAGAAAAGGAACTGTGAGGTTCAAACTAATCATTCAATGTGACCCAAATAATGTTTTGACTTCCTTTACTGGGTATATATGCTGTAAGTTGTATCATTTTCTCATGCCCTACTAAAACTACCTTTGATACTTTAATTGGCTGTGACTGGATGAGTCAAGGGCACCAGATAACGCCTTTACAGCAGTTCCCTGTGTATCAGGTACAGCCTCTTTCTTTATTTCTTTTTTCATTTCCTTAACTCCAACAAAGCTCCCAGAATCCCAAACTGATTTTTTTCTGAATAATGCTAAAATTATGAAATACATCTGTGCCATTTCCAAAACGAGCATGATAAGCCGGAAGTGGCCTGCTCTGATTTCCAGATGAACACCAGGAATGAGGAAGTCGCATGTTTTCAGAGCCTGGCAGCATCAACATTATTATTTATTCATTATTATTTCTATACATTTAAAACGGTGACAGAATATTTACTAATAAAGTTGTGTTTAAGGGGAAAAGTTGACAAAGTCTTGCCTGTGGCCTTCAAAACCCAACTGCAGTGTTGTGGGACAAAACCGCTCCCACCACCCACACCCACCAGCCCAGGCCAGGCGTCCCGAGGCCCGCTGCTGAGTGTGGCTCTGGTCTGGAGCTAGCTAACTAGTTGTTTCAGATGCTTTAACGTTGCTTTGAACAACTAAACCCTTATCTGTAAGTATGGAGCATCGTTTGGACGAAGTATCGACTCGGAGACCTGCTTCCATCAACCGTAATGTTGAAGGAGAACTCGGTGGAAACGTGACAGTGAGTCCAGCTAACTCACGCTCGACCGCATTTTACGACGGGTACTTTTTCTGACACAACACCGGTCACGTAACGCGGAGGAATAGTATAAACACAGCTTTTACGTCATTAGCCAATACATTCCAGATGAAGATGGTGGCAGCTCAGCGCTAAAATAACACACAATAAGCCGGATTGTGGGACCGGGAGGAGGACATAATAAGAGTTATGAGCGGGACAGAGGAGGCGGAGAGGCGCGAGCCTCCCGAGCAGACAGAAGCGACAACCAGTGAAATGATCGAAAACTGGTTTGTATGTTAAACCATCTCACACTACACAATGTAGCGTTAGCATGTAAGAAAATAAAACAACATTTACCTTAGATTCAATATGGCGAACCATGACTGCTACTTCAGAACGCGTGTTCCACACAAGACTCGAGCAGCAAACCGTGACGTCTGGATGAAAGCTGCCGTCAGTAAAACACGCCCCGCGGACCCGAACTTTATCAAGGCTCCTCCGTTAGCCCAACCCCCAACCGGAAGTTGCGTTTCTTCCTTTAGAAAATAAAAGCGTCCAAGAATATGGCATACTTTAATGATCCAGCWGTTAGTTGRGACTTCTGCTCATGTWATTATCCATATAATCTACACAATATAAAAACAATACTAAAACAAGCTTTGGACCACAATGGAAATAAGTGATTCTCACTTTCTTGTCTTATCCAAGTACTAATATTATTAGATGTGTATGTACATGCAATATTACTGCCAAATAAAATCAATGAAGCTCAAAAAGCAGATTTATAGCCTAAAGATAGTTATGAAAAATTCTTCTGTTATCTTAAAGGAACAATCAGTTTAGAGTGAATACATCAGGTCTGTATTTCAACAAAGATTTAGTTGAATTTGTTCAATTCCAACTTTTTTCTGATTTGTTTCAGACACAGTCCAGTCCCACATCTAGAGTCACAACATGCAGCATAYAGCACACATAAAATATCCACACAGTGTGTTGCTCTAAAACTGTTGACAATTAACTAGAATAAGAGAGCTCATCTCTGCTAACACCCTGGGTTATAGAAATGTGCAGCTGCTGAGTGCTAGTTTAGTAATCTGAGTTACAATCTTTGTTTTCATAGGCAGTGTGATGGATCAGTGGTTAGAACTAATGCTTCACAGCAGAAAGGTGCTGGGTTCAGTCCCCAGTTTGGACCTGTGGTCTTTCTGTGTGTTTTTCTTTCTTTCAGGTACTCTGGTTTCCTCCCACAGTCTTAAAACATTTCCTCACCATAGACCTGTGATCTCAGTGAGATTTCCCTGATTAATTAAAATTAATAACAAACATTCTGTCAGACGACTTAATCACTAAAAATCAGCCTCTTTTAAGTTTCACYAACATTTAATCGTTTGTTTTTGTGAAAACCCCAATGTTTGAAAATGTCCAGAAAATCTGTTCAGAACTTTCTGAGTACTTAGAAAARCAAATCAAAGGTTCTGAAACAAACCCTCAGCCTGTCCTGACTTCACCTGRGTTTGGAGAAAAGAAAAGCTGCAGTTTCTCTGAAAGCAGGATTCAGGACTGAGTCCTGGGAAGACAGTCAAAGTGTGGATCTGAWGCCCTTCAGAGCTGATGTGTAAAACCTGAATCCAACTGAAGAGCAGCTCAGAGTCCAGCTGTGGAGTCCTGGTGACCTCAGGCTTCAGGACCTCCTGAGCCTCTGAAGTGGACCAGATGAAGGTTTTCCTCTCAGACCTTTAGTCCTCAGACTGTGGAGACGTCCCGACACCCAAAAACCCCAGAAATAAAAGACAAGTTAAAAACTGAAAGGCAATTAGAAGAGCTGGTGGTGCAAGCAGTAAGAAGACTGGCTGCTGCTGTGATCTAAAGGTTGCAGGTTTGATTCCAGGAGGGCTCTTGCTGCCTTTAGCTTTAAAAAGTGACAAAAACACAGCTAAAACTGAAGAGAGCAGGACTTGAACCTGTGACCTACAGACCCACTGCTCAGTACAGGAGGATATGTCTCCATGGACATTAATCTCTTATAATTTGACTGTTTTTAAATGAAAAATAAAAAGAGAAATATCGGAGGTGAAGCTGGAGGTTGAGACTTCCTCTGGACCTTCAGCTCAGAGGACTCAGCAGGTCTTACTTAGAGGATCTCTCACCCAGTTCTAAAGAACACGGAGTCCTTCAGAGTCCAGCAGTCTAYTGGACCCTCTGATGTCTCGTCCAACTCAACTTCTTCATATTTCCTGCCAGAAACTACATTTTCACGACGTGTAGACCTCGTTTCTTCAGCTGAAACACTGACACAAAAACTTTGATTTCTCCTGAAACAAGTTTCCTCAGAGTCACTTTTTGATTTCCCTCATGAAGCTCWGAGGCAGAAGTTTAAAAACTTTATTACACTCATGACTGGTGGAGGAAGACAGTTCTGCTGGATGCTGATTGGCTGACTGGTTTAAGTGAATTATTAATTCACTGTTTAAATCATACCCATCATATCTTTGTTCCAGTAGAGCATCTTAATTTCTTGGCAAACACCTATTTTTCCTAAATAAACTATATTTTCCATTGTATATAGATACTTAACAATACGCTGCTATTAAAACAGTGTATTTGTGTAAACTATTAATATTTTTAATAAAGTATAAACACCMCTAAAGGCTTCAGATCAGGTTATTTGTTTCACATTAAAGTCAGTTTTTGTTATATGAAGACACCACAAAGTCAGTAATTCATCATTTATTTAATCCACCTTGTTGGGAAAATCAAAAACAAACTGTTCTGGGTTCTAACATGTAACAGCGTTAACACATGAGGTTGGAGTTTTAATGTGGGCCAGTTAAGGCAGTTTGTACAGTGGAATAAAGGGAACCAGGATGGTGAACAGGTGCAACAGGAAGCKCTGCTCAGGTGGGGACAGTGTGGTCTACTGCAGCTCAGCCACTTTGTCAGTTAATGTTTTGACGTTGGCGCCGGAGAATTCAAACACCTGAAAACATGAAGGGCAGCTTAGAAAACACAACTACAAATAAAGTGAGACAAAAACACAACACGCACACAAAAATGTTTGCCTTCACCCTTTCTTGTCAACTACCAGTAATCTCTTCTAAATAGGAAACAAGTTTAACGATGACAAAATAAAAGTCAGATTAAAGAATAAAATATTGTCACTGTATTTATGTGCACATGACAAACAGATGTTTCTTTGTGTAATTATGAAGTTATGAGAAGATGGCTGCCACACCCACCATCAAAAATACATTCATGAAAACGTTATGCTAATGCAAAATCACCACATATCAATTCTGCAACAGTGGGGTGGGGGTCTCTGCAGTAACTAAGGCTGTGACCAAAACGACAGGCCGGGTCCTCCGGAGGACYCAGACTMCCCGGTCKMGGYGGGCYGGGTCCTTGGTAGACCGGGAAGACCGGAAAAAAAGAGGCTGTGAATTTGGACGGTCTAGCCTCCCCTCCCCCCGGCGTACGTCATGTCACCTAGCAACCATGACGATGCTAAACAGAAGCAAAAATAGATCAAAATTAGAAAAATATCAATATATTAGCATTATTAATATCACAAAACTATAAAATTAACTTAAAGGTAACATTTGAAGAACTAATTGACCCGCTGTAGGTTCATGTTTATTTCATGTTTTTTTATGATAACAAAAATATGTAAAATCATGTCCATAAAAATGATAAAAGTATTAGAATTACAACCGCTAAATATTTTAAATTTTTATATCACCATATTTTTATTTAAAATGTATTCTTTTCTCTCGCTTCGTCTGCCATTACTAGCATAAAAAAAATCTCCGGTCGGGCCGCAATGCATTATGGGATATGCTGGGCCGGGAAGGATCCATCAGACCTGTCCTTCGATTCGGGCCAAAGGAAGGACGTATTTGTCGGCCGCATCGGAGGAGTCTTCGGTTTTGGACGTCCTTCGTCGCGGCGCCGTGACGTATGTGGCCGACRAATTCGGCCTTCGGAGGACCCGGCCTGCCATTTTGGACACAGCCTAAGTGGAGTTTCTTGTTTTGTGGGAGGAGTTTGTCCAAGACGTGATTGGTCAGACTGACTATTTAGAGTGGGGTTTGAAGAAYGCTGGGCAGCTGTGTGGGGGACATGTAGCTCAATCAAAACGTCCAGAAAGCACCTTTATTTTTAAATAAAAATATTCATTTTAGTCAAAACTCAAAAACAGGAAGGTTAATTAACATGCTCCACAATAATTTTACTACAACTTGATCTTATCTTGCCCCACAGTACAAGTCAACCTGAGTGATAACAGGACAAACTCCGCCCACACAACCAGAAACTCACCTGCAGCTCAGAACTCTGAGTCTGTCCCCTCACCCTCCTGATTGCTGCTGGGGGTGTGAAAGAGTTGGAACATAGTTTGATGCATTTGAAGTATTTCCACTCACCTTCGTTCCTCTCTTGTAGAACTGGAAAGTAGGCATGCAATTGATGCCACAGTCCTTGCTCACATCCTGAAACAGACCAACCAGACAGCAACATGAGCCACAGCACAGAAACGACACGGGACATTTAACCCTAAAGTAGTGGATGGCAGCAGCTGTGATGGTGAACCTCAGGAGGGGAGGGGCTGCGGGTTGGACAAGCATGATTACCTGAGGAAATACATGCTCATATAGTGACATATTAATCTGTGACTGACTGTTCAAACAGACCCACAAGACCCGCTCCCTGCATGTGTGTCTCCTGCAGACAGCTCTGTCAGGTGGAGCTCTGCAGCAGTACCACTCAAAGGTCTCAAAAGCTTCAAACCATACTTACAGCAAGTTCATCCACGTCCACCTTTATGAAAATCACTCTGCCATCATACTCAACTGCCAGTTTCTGCAAGAAAAATCGGTCAATATTAACAAGTATTTTACATACGCAAGAAAAACAAACATCTCTGCAGAGCWATTACATTTTCCTGTCAAGCAGGAGTTTCCTCTTTTTAAAGCAAAAAACAAAAGAAAAAGGTGGGTGAGCAGACAAAAAGACTGCCTCAACAACGAGCTCCACCTCCACATACAAGCACAGGTTCTAAAGCAGAGGTGCCCAAAGTGGGGCCCGTGGGCCAAAATTGGCCCGCCAAGCCATCTGATTTGGCCCAGCAGTTGTCCTGGTTATTAGATTGTAATTATGTTAAGATTAAATATAAAATACAAGTAACTACAAGAGACATTTAGATTAGATTTAAGCCCATACATAGATTTACACACCTTATAAGACCACATATATTTTTAAATTATGAAAAGTCCCATGAGTCTTTGCTGCCTGAGCATATGTTGAATTTTCTCCATGTCCTTGAGCTGAAAAAAAAAAAACTAAAGAATGTGGGCAACCACACTGGCTGCTAGCTTAATCATAAAAAATAAAACAACTTTTAAGTATTAAGCATTTCTTATATTATTGCATTTGGCCTGCGGCCCTCAGATTGATTTTAATTTTGGCCCTCCCAGGGAAAATGTTTGGGCACCCCTGTTCTCAACAGACAGGTCAGGTCTGGTGGTTCTGATGTCATCAGGCCTTTCACAAACTTACAAAGGAAAAATGCAAATGACCTTTCCAGGAAACTCATTTTCAAAGTGACTTCAGAGAAGAATTTGGACCCGACTACATAGACTCAACTAGAACAGACTTACTTCAAAAACTGGACCGATCATCTGGCAGGGACCGCACCAGGTGGCTGTGAAGTCCACCACCACCAGTTTGTCTCCTGCCTGGGCCAGGACCTCATCAAACTCCCCCTGAACACCAGGAATAAGGACAATAATAACAACAACAACAATAATAACAACAATAATAACCTAATAATCAATAACTGTGACAGAAATGTGTTTAAAAAAGTATATAAATATTTATTTTAAAAAACGTTTTCCTTTTCTTGTTCAGTTTGTTGAGGGACAGAGTGCTGAAAGCAGGGCCGGCCAGTGTTTCCCAACCCTSACCCTCAAGGCGCACCGCCCTGCATGTTTCAGATGTTTCCCTGCTTTAACACACCTGGTTCAGTTGACTGCAGCTCAACATAAGTCTGCTAATCAGTTATCAACTGAAATCAGCTGTGTTGAYGCAGGCAAACATCTGAAACATGCAGGGCAGTGTGCCCTGAGAACCAGGGTTGAGGGTGTCGTCCATTCCAGAGGGCAGTTTATGATTTATTTATYTATTTCCTTTTTATTAGAGTAGAGTTAATTTAACCTGTAGGATAATCTCTGGTTCCTCAGGTTTATGAAGGTAACGTGCTACATGAGGCGTTATATGGAGGATATTTCATGACAAAACGATGCAATCAAGACTAACGACTGCTGCTCAGTGTGTCAACAGAAAACACAACAAGGATGATGAAAGTTTCAGTTTTGATCTCAGATAAAGTTCAGTTTAAAGTCTGATTTTCAGTGATTCTTTACAAGGTTTGTGGTGGAGTAGCTATACCCCTGGACCCCCCTGTTTCAAATGAATTTTATTGTTAACTATTTTAATTGGACAACTTAATAAT